TTAGCTGCGTACTAAGTGAGATAATGTAAAGTGGACGCAGTGAAAGAACTCCTTCAATGTGAAAGGCATCTGCTCGTTTTACATGACTTGTGTCTTAGATTCTCTGCTCAGAGAAATAGACCCTAAAAACCCTCTAAAATAAGATTAAGGTTGATTAAGGCATTAATCAACCAGAGGAAATGATTGAAATAAAGTATACATGTCCATTACCCTGCATATAATAATATATATTCAAGTAAAAGTAAAAATAGTTATGCTCTGTTATGATTTTGTCAAAAATTTCATTTTTTCCTGTCTTTTGATGGAGTTAAGAAGAAGTCAAAGGGCTGCAGAGTCTTTTCATATCTAAGTGACCTCCTACTCTCCCAGCTGACAAAAACACTCTGAATCAAGTGAGGCCTCATTTCAATCCAAACTAATCTGTGAGCTTAACTTTCTGTTTCCCTGTTTCCATTTTTTTTCATTCACTTTAGCCTTCATGACTCTAAGCCAATCGTCTTAACAAACACTGCATCTCTTTTACCCCTCTGCTCCCCATGGCTCCGTCTCCTCATCTGTTCTCCCTCCTTGTTTCTCCTGCCTCCTCGACAGTAAACCAGGCTTTTCTCTGTCATCCACGACACTTATTCTCTCTCTAAACCAGAGTGTGAACGTCCCACTCCAGCTGTTTGGGGTTTGAATATTCATCCTCCAGCAGTTATGTCTTTCTCAAAAATGTGCATGTCAACCTTTTCTCTCACTTCCATTGTTCTCTATAATAGTTTTCATCTCCTCTGACAGCTTCCTACTGTATTGTTTTACTGAATGGCCGAACAATTTCACTCTGTATTTATTCTGCGCACGTAACGTCTATTACATGGAGGTCCTTCGACGCCATGCTTTCCAAGGACAGTATGTTAATTATAGGCTTCTATCAAGAGGACCACCAAACAATTAAAGTATAACCTGTGATTATCACTTAGCATCATCCTGCTGTCGATTGCCTCTTTTTTTTTCTTTTAAATATTGACACTTTTTCCGACCGTAGGCAGAAAGGTACACAGGACCTGAAGTGTGCACTCTTCTCCGGCGACAGCCACACTCAATTTGCTCTTCAGGAGGGCACTTAAGACTAAAAACATCTCTGTGAGGCCGCTCAGGAGACAGTGAAAAAAACGAACAGAACATAGTGGTCACCCCTGCAGGTATAATATTATGGAAATGAGATTTCAGTGAAGCAGGATTTGACTGTTAAGCAAGAAAATACCTTCTTGCTAATAGATGTAGGAAGGGGGTTAAAAAAAAAAAAGATACAGGGTGCAATTTTACCCTTTCATTCAATCTTTTCCCTGAACTCCAGAAGTCATAAATCACAGTTAATAGAGAAGGAGGCAGACATTTGGAGCAAAACTCCAGGAGGACAACTCGCTGAAAAGGCTTAATTAAGTCTACATGGACAACGCTGTAGCTTGCAGGATAAAGTCAAATCTGTTTTGTACGATGTCAAGATAATTTCCTACTGAGCAGGTCTCGGGCCGGATAATATTTCTACCTTTTTTTCTCTTAGATTTATGTTAAACTGCATAATGAACACTAAGTATTTTGGCAGAGAACAATCAAGGGAGAACTACTGTGTTGAGAAAAAAAGGACAATTTCTGTCAAAGTGTCTGATCTGTATACATCTCACACTCTTCCAAACCAATAAAGACTTAATATATTCTCTCATCTTTTTGACCAAGCCCTGCTCTCCTCTCATGTTTGCTTAATTTTTGAGCTCTAGTGGTGAAAGACTCATTACACAAATAGTTCCACAGTTGTAAAAGATGGTGAGGATCTACATCTACAAGTATGTGCTCTTAATATGAATCTTGTAGGGGTGTAATCAACGGAAGAAATTCTTGGTCGACTAAAACCTTGAAAATTTCGACCAAAAATTGAATAATAGGGGGTGGTTCCGATGCCGCTTGGCAGGGTGAAAATATATTTATATCAGCACAAGAAGGCAATGCCAATGCCTTTGACATGGACAGTAGAGGAGGACTCACATGAAAGTTAAAATGCTCAAAATAAAATAAAATATTCAGCAAACCACTGGATGTTGATTAACATGGACGCTCTCCAATCTTCCTGTCTCCAGCTGGTCTCCAGTGGGTTGGGCAAATTCAAAATGGTGAAAACAAGGGGGGTGTTCTGAGACAGGCTGTTACTGTGAAATGGTGGTGCTCTGAAAACACCCCCATTAGCATTTGGTACGTGCCTCCTGATGAACTTAACCATAGACTGTAAATTGACGCGGAAAAAATCGAGTCGATCAATCAGAATTTCGGTCAATTTTCCACGTACCGACCAATAAGTCGACCAGTCGACTAAAAGACTTTACAGACCTAGAATCCAGTTAGTCAAAGGAAGTAGAAATGAGCCCTCCCTAAGAAGCCCACCACTGACATACAGAAAATGCATGATGTTGGGGAGTGCTACGGTGGCGTAATGAGAAAGCAACACAATCCTTTCTGCAACATGATAGGATGTTGGGATGACATTCATTATTCCGTAAATATCAAACTCTATCTTTGATGAGAGTGGGAGCAGAAAGGACCTTTATATGGCACATGCTATAAACCCCTAATTCATGTCCAACTTAATCAAACATTTTTAAAGCTTCAAACCACATTTTATCTTCACCAGTTGAGTTTTTCAGGGGAACGCAAGTACATTTCTCAGATTTACCTCAATGAGTTTATATAATCTGGAAGGAAACCTTGAAGGAAAAAAAATAAGCATGAAGAGAGGATGAAGAATCTCCATTCTTCACAGAATAAATAAATACCAAGGCCCATTATGGGCAAATACAATGACCACATCAGGTAAGGATTGCAAACGTGGATCTCAGTCGTCAAGGAGATGATTTGTTCTGTCTCCATGGCAACTAATGCTACCATGCTACAGAGTGCACTGAATATGTTAAATCTTTAAAGAGTGGGTATTGTGCTTATTCTTTTGGTTTTATATTGTCCCTCTGATAGCTTCTTGGCAGCTTCACATGATTTACAGCTGAAGAAATTCTTAACAAATTTCAGACTGCTCTCGTTGAAAACCCTCATTTCAGCCTGTGTCCGAGACCACCCTCACTGTCCCTTCCAGGTGCCCCCAGCATTCCCAAACCCAGCACTCTGGAAGCCTCCTTCCCCGTTGTCATGCCACAAAGTTCTGTTTCTTTTTATAGAATTACAAATTTGCCTTTACAAATTACAAATTTGCCAAATATGACCACAGGCGTCAGGGCGACAGGCCTGTAGTCATTTCACCCTGTGATGGAGGGTTTCTTAGGAACCGGGATGATCTTGGAGTGTTTGAAGCAGTAGGAGACTTCACACAGCTCCAGAGATCTGTTAAATATCTGACTGAAGATGGGGCCAGCTGGCCAGAACAGATTCTCAGACAGGAAGAAATGTGAAAGAAATGTGTAAGAGTTCCTCTCTGGTGAAGTTAACCAGAGAAGGATTAAAAACCAAACAAAAACACAATTAGTACACGAGGGCAAAGTACCTAGGTTCCCCTATCACAGCGCCATCTTGGTAACTCCAGGTGTTGATCTTGGCATGAGGAACTTCCAGGTTACAGTGTAACTATCTCCACACACTAAGCAGAAATAAAATAATTCATGCAAATGAATTACATGTTAAGTCAATGCAGTCAATGATCCTGTCGGTTGAATTGGCAGGGATTACCGTTGAAATTACCATTGACCTGCGGATGAAGCGAGTAAATACTATTTATTCATGCATCTGGATTCGCGCGTATTATGCAAGTAGAGGATTTTACTTGCGCTTGGTGTGAGCGCCCTATAACCTGGACCTGAACAGTTATAGTGAAAATTTGCCTCTCTTAAATGGCTTCATAAGACCTTCGCGATGTTTTTCCCAAAGTCATTTTTCCACAGAACAACCGTCATCTCTGTGAACACGTTTTAAGTGTTCCTCCATTTTTTAATGCTTTAAAAAGAGCTGCCTCTTATTCTGCCAGCTAATTCAAAACCTGGTTAGAAATTATACTGATTTTTTACCCACTCTGAGTCATTGTCCCAGATGTCTGTCGTAAGCAAATCTCATTTGTCTTTGAGCAGGGGAGGCGCAGGATATGAGTTACATACCTTGTTATGAAACTAATGAAACCTCCCTCAGATTAAATGGTTGAGGCTCAGTCCGGCTAATATCATGCATACGAGATATAAAACTCTCTTATTTTTAAGTAAACAAACTCTTTTGATATCAGGGTCTTGTTTTCGCTGCACTTATGTTAATCTGTCGTCGCTATTCTGCAAAATAAATTGATAATTCAATAATCTACTGCTTGCACCTTACAGAACTTATAATTTGATCATGAAATTTAAGCTTAGCGAGGAAGCTGAACACGAGACATCTGGTCCACTTTACATAAAGGCCTATGAACCGAGTGTCAGGGTTTGTTTAAGAAGAAGCCTTCAGGTCATTTTTTTCCCTTATCAGCTGTATTGTTCACAGAGCTGTTTGATGCTGTGAATCCAGCCCATCTGCATTTCAAGAGCTTCACAGTTTGACCTTGATCCAACATGAAGAAAATGAAGGGTAATGTCATCACATGTGCAGATGATTAAAAGCGGCCCCCGTCATGTCAATACGTCTATATGTAATATCAACTCCTACCGTGCTCCGACAAACCCCCTGGGTGCAGCTCAGCAAATCACAGGCATGTGCTCCACTTCACCTGCCGCATGTTTACTGAGGATGGTTAAGCTGATGAGGGACACACTGTTGACTGTTGGCTCTTTAACATTAGAGCTAAGTAAATTACTTATGTAGATTGATTTTTTGTATCCGTCAGATGCTACGGGCCGAGAAGAGCTAAAAGGGACACGTGCAAGATCGACAAAGAGAGCCGCTGTGTAAGAAAAACACTGACCGAGACTAAGACACACACACGCACACGCAAACACACACACATACTCAGAGAGAGGCTGGTAGTGCTGCACTGGGTCCTGGTTGTTATTCCAACAGAGCTGGGTCTCCAGTAGCATCACTAACATACTGGAGACACATGCACTGTAGAATACAGCCAAGCCATGAAGATGAGCCTCTGGCATGCACACAAATACACACACTTGACCCAATCTATGCAAACACACAAACCCACGCACTTGTACATTAGCTATATTATAGTTCCAATTATTAAAAGTAGAGGAGAACAACTTGGTTTGAACAACTCTGATCTTAATGAACTGAGAAACAGAGAAAAAGAGACGATTTGTAGTAATTACTTTCTTGGTCTTGCAAGCACACACTTGTAGATAAAGGACTGAAGGTGTAAAAGAAGGAGAGGTGCAGCTATGTCAATGATAACACTGACCTATAACTGTACAAAGAACGGGAGAAACACGTGCATCACAGTGCTGCTGCTTAATCAACCAACCTGTGTGTGTGGGTGTATGTGTGAGGGGGGGCATGTGTGTGTCTAAGAGAGTTAGATAGATTTAGAAAAGGAAAGGCAAGTAATTTGAGTGAAAGTTATTAAAGTGAGAGCAGCGAACAGACAGTAATTTATAGACATTTTCTAAGTATGACTCAGGGGATGAGGATGATAGACAGAGGGAGTGAGAAACAAAAAAATTCAGACCTGAAAGAACAAGTAAAAAGGCAGGAATTGACAGACAAAACAGGGGAACCCGATCCCACGAAGACAGGAGACTGCCCACGGATGAAATTCACACATCGCTGAAAGGACAGCGATGAGGCATCAGTGGAAAAATTTAGAGAAAGCCAGGAGGAAGAAGAAGAAGAAGCACAAATACAGGAGAGAAATCATCTCTATGGTCATTTTAATGTTAATTTGTCCATGTTTAGAGGTGACTGTGCTCTAATACCTCACTAATCCACATAGAAAACTAATTCCTCCTGGGATTATGAAGATTTCTTAACTTATCCAACAAGATCTAAACAAACTATCATGCTATACAACTGGAGGGGGGAAAACGTATTGGTCTTGACAATATTTTCAAGCACCTGGTCTCTCGCACCATTGACAAATTCATGCATGACTTCTGCCAAACTTCACAATAATCAATGATACCATGCCAAACTGAACTAGACTTCTTGGTAGAAACTAAGCCATAAACCTTAAAGTTCTGTGATATTGATTTAGGACACCTCCATTCACAAGAAGACATTCATTATCACTGAAAATGGATAATGGAGGAAATACAAAGTTGAATAAATTGCAGCCATATTACCAAGTCTGCAGTTTACTTGAAGGCAAATATGTAAATGTGCACTCAATGTCAAAGGAAATAAACTCAGTTTAACTGGATGCATCACAAATATGAAGAATGTATGTGACTAAACAGCTTTTTCTATTTCTGCACAGATGTATCAATCTAGTGGTAATTGGAATTTAATAAGCACGCTGTGTGCAGTCATTTATTTCTGCAGATAAGTGTGGGAGTGAGTAAATAACAGAGATCCTCTGCTGTGTGTTTATGTCACTGATGGTGTCAGGCTGTGATGGAACCACATCAGCCTCCTTTTGTTTTCTGACTGTCTCTCATTGTCATTGACTCCGTCTGTGGTGATCCCAGCAAGAAAGGCTGATTTATATTTATTTATTATCTCTATTCATGAAAAGGAAGGAAAAGTTTTGTACAACAATTACAAAACTACAAAAATGACTACTAAATAGATATTGAAATGGCTCTTTTGGGATAGTGGTAAATATTTTTGTCGTGCGATTATTTCGGACGTCAATATTTTTTTTTTTAACCTGTATCCTGTCCATACAAGTGTTCACATCAGCGACGTTTTCCCGTTCTGCGATATTGCGGCATTTATTTTTTTGGATCATGGTCGATTTTTTTTAAAGTTTTGCATACTGTGTGTGTCCACTTCTGACCAATCAGATTGCGTGTTGTTGCGATGTCAGATTCACCGGTATATCCAACATGGCCGACTGGCTGATTGTTTATGTGTCGGAAAACAGAGTGCTTTTTGATAAAAGACACAAACATTACAAAGATACCAACCTGAAGGACAACTTGTGGAGAGTCATAGCGTCGGATCTCTCAAATGACGATGGTTTGTGTGCTTTAACAGTTCACTAAATGTCTTTGTTTTAACTTTCATTTGTGCTAACGTAAGCTAACGGTTGTTACCATAGTTTCATGTGCTTATCTCATCGCCTCTGATTGGCTGTAAGTGCTGACCATTTGGCTTGAGCGTGTGATGACGTTTTCCAGCTTTCCCTGGCAAAAGTCTTCCCTGGGATGCATCTTTTTCCCCCAGAAAGTCACAAAATCACATCAGGCTTGATGTGTATAGTCAGGCGTGTCAAAATTCACCTCCGAATATTTCATACTTTTGCGTTCTATATTTGTGTCAGCCCCGGTGTGTAAGGACCTTAACACTGTAGTACCGTTTAAATACTTAGTGTCGCTGATATGACTGGAGACGCCTGTGTCTCTCTGGGTCTCTAAGTGGGACGGGCTCCTGCAGAACAGTAATGGGTCATTACAGCACATTTTGTTGTTTGTATTGTGAGTCTTTAGTATAGTTGGCCAATTACAATTCCTTTTCTAGATTCAAGTCTGTATCTTGGTTGAGAACCCTGCAGGGTATCCCATAATGCTTTGAGGGATGCTTGTAATATTGCAGTGGAATCAGTGGGTAAGCTGTGGTTAAACATGAGCCTTTTTGTCTGTATTATTTTTGCCTCTTGGCAAATTTGCACCGTGAAAAAAATATGCTGGAGAAATTACTGGAGATTTTAGTGTGCACTGTAGCCATGGAAACTGTCACTGAATTAGTTTTAATACTAAAACAACTAAAATATCCTTGCAGATTCAAATTCTGTTAAAACACTGCAAGAGTAAATAAACTGAGATACTTGATTTTATATCATGTATTACTCTGTGATTATGTCCCGGCCTCATTTCTGTGTTTGATTGTAATGTTTTAATGTTGCAGTAAAATGCTAAGCACCATGTTTAATTTAAATTACACCAGTTATCATCAGATTTGGCCTCGACTCAAATGTCAACAAATGCCACTCAGAGCTGTTTAAATATCATGGTCGCTCAAAAAGTGCTTTTTGTGGCAGAGCTTTGGTGTAAGAGCATGGACTCTTCAGAGACAATGGACTCCAAAGCCTTTCTACTTTCTCTTGCCCCAACATCATTTTGTTAGGAAGCAGGAGAAAGAGACACTGGTGGAGGACGAGCAGAGGAACACCAACAATGGCCTCTTTTCTCCGTCCCCATCATCTTTCTCATTTGTTCTCAACCTTTGGCTCATCTGTATGTGATTCACGCTCTCTCTCTTTGTCGCTCCGTTTCCTCCAATGTTTTGCATAGTCTCACTATTCACAATACAAAACCCCACCCCCTTCCCTCTGTCTCTCTGTCACCTGTTTCTCCATTTGTCCCTTACATCCCATTATGTCTGTCTCTTTTGCTCTCCATCTCTGTCTCTCTCTCTGCGCTGCAGGTGTTTGACAGTCACACTGTCGTCACAACGCTGTTGTTCTATTTTAATCTGACTCTTCTGTTCAGGAACAAACACCCACATGCTCCCTCCATTCTCCTGGCTCCATTTTACTCTCTATTCACAGTTTTTCTTCCCAAAACTACATTTTTTAATCTCTCTGTAACCTTCACTTTGGTTCTATCTATCTATCTATCTATCTATCTATCTATCTATCTATCTATCTATCTATCTATCTATCTATCTATCTATCTATCTATCCATCCATCTATCTATCTATCTTTTTTTTCATCTAAACTTAATAAAAAGGCTCATTGTTAGTTATCAAAAGACGAAGTTTTGTTTTGCAGAGTAGACTTTCCAAGACCTGCTCAGATGAGGCAACAACTGTTGCTGCCTTGGAAACTGCTTGCGCATTAAAAACCAAATTGCCATGGATACAGATATCAGCGTTGCCATGTAGATCAGAATGCAGCTCTTGGTGTTTCAGGTTAAAACTCTGTAGCTCTTAGTGCATCATACCCTTTTAACTCTGGCTCCTTTAGTGCTTCATGAAGGTTTCTTGGAAGAAATGCACAGAGAGAAAGAGAGGAAAAAAATGAATGCTCTCAACATATCCATTCAGCTGGAGTGACTGAATCTAAAGCTTTCATCAGAGGGTTTCGTTATGAGAACTGCAGCATTCATAACCATGTAAATAATTCAGCTTTTTTATTTGCAACAAGACGAACAAAAAGTGGTTTCAGTACTGATGGAAAACAAACAATATCTATGCTGAAGGGGGATTGGATTAGGTAAACAGTAAGTTCATTACTTGCAGGGGACGCTGGTCAGCTCAGCCCCTGTGAAACTTATCAGTGCACCGCTGGCAGAGGAGCACGCATATGTCAAATATGTGCTTAAACAAAGTGGTTTTCTGATGACAAAGTGTATCTATACAGAGCCAAAAATATAATGTTTAGGGTGGAGAGTCCTTGAAGAAGTACATAGTTGGGCTGACCCTATCTGCGACTGCCGATAGCAGATTCAGTGCTGGTTCTCCACCTGTTTTTTCTGAACAAAAGGGCTGACTGGTTTCCTCTATGAGTCAAAAACTTGTTATTGACAAGTACAACGTTCCTTAAAAGTAAAAGAACTACACCTTTAAAGCCGACCACTATCAAACCTTAACCATAAAGGTCTTTACACACTGGGGCCGATGCGAAAATAGAACACGAAAGTACTAAATATCCGGAGGCGAATTTTGACATGCCTGACCATACACATCAAGCAAGATGCGATTTTGCGACTTTCCAGGAGAAAAAGACGGATCCCGGGGAAGATTTTTGCAGGGGAATGTCCCGCCTCTTTCGTCTCTGATTGGTTAGAAAAGCTGGATACGTCATTACATTCTTAAGCCAAATGGTCAGCACCTATAGCCAATCAGAGGCGATAAGATAAGCACATGAAACTATGGTAACAACCGTCAGCATACATTAGCACAGATGAAAGTTAAAAACAAAGATGCTTAGCAAACTGTTAAAGCACACAAACTATCGTCATATGAGAGATCCGACACTATGACTCTCCACAAGTTGTCCTTAGGGT